ACTGTAACATTCTATAAGATCGAAAAAGATCGTGCAAAAGGTTCAATACATCTTGTTGGGGATTTTTTTTTATTTGAACTCATCACACCTCAATCATTTGATTTGGTAGTAGGCGTGAATTAAACCAATTAATTAGGATAGTGTATTCGTTTTCTTTTATACTTTAAAGAGACCGTAGACCAGCTTGGGTTTAGGTAAACCAAACCAAACCCAGCCCAGTCGAGTTAAAAGACAACCCTTCCCCTTATCAATTTTGTGCCCAATATACCAAAGAATCTCCTCCTCCTCTCTCCCTGTCACGCGCGCGCACATGTACACACCAAAATCCTCTCTATGTGGCCACAAAACCTCCGTCTAGATTTCCACTTCGTTAACTTCACTCTCTTTCCAAAACCCCCACATTCCCTTCCCCTCTCTCTTCCTTCCAAGCTTTTACTAACCTTGTTCTCTTCTGGCGTTTCATTTTCCAGACGTTCTGCTCAAAACCCAATTCAATATTTGACCGCCATGTTTTAATCTCTCGAACCCGGAAATCCCACCATGCATAACCCTTCAGTCGCAACTCAGGAACCCAGTCCGGTCTACGACCTCGTTTCGCAATTGGGTCGGTTCGCCTTCAGCTCAGGGCCTCATAGCAGCTCCGGTTCTGATGGACACTCCTCGTTTTTGTCCAATTTCTTGTATTTCGACGCCTTTGGGGGTGCTTCAGTCGCCGGAAAGAAGGCCAAGGTCGGCGTTTCAGCTTCACTGAGCTTGAGCAGTCGCGGCGGTTTGGGAATTTGGAGGAGTGTGACGGAGTTTAATCGGGCTATACGGTTCCACTGTGACAAATTCCCAATTGGGTTTGCTTCTGTTCGCGTCGGGTCTGGGGACGGAAATGGAAATGGGTCGGATAACGGCGTTGGGGACAATAGCAATGTGTTGGTAGAAGATGGAGGCGGAGTTAACGATAATGGGATTGCGTTGAATGGTGTGAAGGCGGAGAGACCCAAGAAAGTTTTGATTTTGATGAGTGACACCGGCGGCGGCCACCGTGCTTCTGCGGAGGCGATCAAGGCGGCGTTTAATGAGGAATTTGGTGATGAATATCAGGTCAGTTATTTTGAATTTAGTTAGAAAGTTTCAACTTTGTTACGAAACTTGTATTTGATCGTTTGACTTATGTAGAGAGAAATCAGAATTACATGAAAACTTTGTAATGTTAGTTGACTGGTAGTTCTACAGCAATGTAATAACATGACGCCGTAAGAAATTAGATCTCGAAAAGTATAAATTTTTATCTGTTCCCACACAATTTCATTAGTTAAATTGAATACATGAGGGAGAAAGCAAATGGACGTGTGAGTGCATATTTGTTGATCATATTTTCGGTTAAGAGTGCATATCGCAGGTGTTTGTTACTGACTTATGGTCGGATCATACGCCTTGGCCATTTAATCAACTTCCCAGGAGCTATAATTTCTTGGTGAAACACGGGCCGTTATGGAAAATGACATATTATGGAACTGCTCCGCGTCTGGTGCATCAATCTAATTTTGCAGCAACTTCTACATTTATAGCTCGGTAAGAATTTTTTCGTTAAAGGTTACTGCTTATAATTCATTTAGTCTGTTTTGCTAAGGTAGTTGTACATTCTTTTGCTTCATGTAAAAGTTGACCACATGTATTAAATTAACTCATAACATGCCTTTCAAAGTTCGAATGGTTATTTATTGCAGCAGCCGTTGACTATAAGTTTTAGTGATTAAAACAGGTTTCAGGAATTTAAAACATTTTTAATCATGTCTCTTATGCACTATAAGTTCATAAATTTAGATATATAAGTGCCATTTTCAAGGAAATAATTAATCCTGTTTTGGCAGATTTAAAACCCTGTGAGGAAAACACCAGATAGGATTACAAACGCAGAAAATGAGCACATTTGTCTAATATTCACGATTTTTTTTTTTATAAGTTTCGTCAAATTATGGTTCAAAGATGGCTTTTTCAGCAGTACATCGTGGTTGATATCCTCTAATTCTGTTTCATTTTGCAGGGAGGTTGCCAAAGGACTGATGAAATACCAGCCGGATATTATTATCAGTGTGCATCCGCTGATGCAACATGTACCACTTCGGGTCTTGAGGGGAAAGGGTCTATTGAAGAAGATAGTTTTTACCACAGTTGTCACGGATTTAAGTACTTGTCATCCTACATGGTTAGTTTTGCACAAAGCTTCCATTAGGAAAATATAGCCTCTTTTTTCCAAACATACCTTTGATATTTTATGTCTTGATTTCCAGGTTTCATAAGCTTGTAACGAGATGCTATTGCCCAACAAATGAGGTTGCGAAGAGGGCATTGAAAGCTGGACTCCAGCCTTCCCAAATCAAGGTTTATGGCCTCCCTGTGCGGCCTAGCTTTGTCAAGCCTGTGCGACCAAAGGTTGGTTACTGATCAACTAAACTTTTTAACCTTGATGTAATTGGTTGTACGACCACAAGAAACCAGCAAGTGGTGTGATATTAAAAGGATTGGAAATTTGAAATATGTGGTTGTAAGCTGCCAAATGGATTATGATGATTTGCAGATAATATTCTCCCGTATAAGTTCTGGTGAAAGCATTTATCACAGTGGTATTAGATTTACACGTTCCATGATTGTAGACGGTGGTTTTGAATAAATGTTTGTCATGTTTGATTTATTTCACTGCAGGCTGAACTTCGGAGAGAACTAGGAATGGAGGAGGATCTTCCCGCTGTGTTGCTAATGGGAGGAGGAGAAGGAATGGGTCCTATCGAAGCTACGGCTCGGGAACTTGGGAATGCATTATATGACGAGAATCTTGGGGAGCCTGTAGGTCAGGTCCTTGTCATATGTGGTCGCAACAAAAAGCTTGCAAACAAGTTGCTTTCGATCGACTGGAAGATCCCTGTCCAGGTAGTTTTATACTTCTGAAGGGAAAGTCGGAAATGCAGCATTAGTATTTATAAACAGAAGTTAGTAGCTAAAATTGATTGACATTGTAGGTGAAGGGGTTTGTTACTAAAATGGAGGAATGCATGGGAGCTTGCGATTGCATTATTACGAAGGTAAGGTTGTCAACAGTCATAAAAATTAAAAACCATGACAGTCTTGAATATTTCGTTATCAACCAATTAGTCTACTTCTTTTGAATAGGCCGGTCCAGGGACAATTGCAGAAGCCATGATAAGAGGCCTCCCGATTATTCTGAACGATTACATTGCCGGACAGGTAATGGTGATTTAATTTACTTTTCATTGTGCTGCTATGTCTTGGGAATCCCCTCACTGGAAAATGTAGCCAATGACTGTTTCTTGTCACTGTAGGAAGTTGGGAATGTACCATATGTCGTTGACAACGGGTGTGGAAAATATTCTAAATCTCCGGAAGAGATAGCAAGGATCGTCGCTGATTGGTTTGGTCCGAAAGCAGATGAGCTAAAGGCAATGTCGGAAAATGCACTGAAGCTGGCAAAGCCTGATTCTGTGTTCAAGATTGTTCATGATCTTCACGAGCTCGTTAGACAACGGAGCCTTGTACAGCAATTATGTACAACATAACCCTATTTTCCCCCAACCAATTTTGTTTACCAGTCCTCTAATCGATCGAAACCACGCTCTTCTCCCCTTCTCATTTCACTCCCTTGTTATGCTGTTTATGTCAAATAAAAAACAATAATGTTATAATTTTCATATTAATATAGCGTATCAGGCTATCAGCGTGATTGTGAACTCTTAATGTACAATTTAGGAGATGGTGTTGCCTTGGACGGCAAGTCTTTTTATTCATCCTCCATGGCTTTTCATTGCTTCAATGGCGCACGAAGAGTATCCCAGCAAGTGGAAGATCAAGAAGGAGCCGACGGCTGCCGAGGCCGGAGGATGTTGCCTCTGTTTAGACATGAACGACGGCGAGACGCGACCAAAACAAAATCAGAAGAGAATTACAAAGGACTCGCTTAAACACACCACCCATTGGATACCCATTGTTCAGACCTATTGGTTGTGTTTGGAGGCTATTGGCGTCTTAATTTTATCGAAGTGTAGATCATTTGGTCATGTCAATCGAATTGAGATACATTACGACAAAAATATTCATATGAATTATGTTTTAGCATCTTGAGTCAGAGAGATAATTACAAAGGGGCTAGCTTAAACACACCCACCCCCATACACCCCAATGTCATGAATTCAGTTCCTCCACCCCATCAAATGTATCAATTTACAAAAAAGAAAAGGAGATCTCAAGAAAAAGAAAGGGAAAGGAAAGGAGAGCTAGTTAAACTTGAACATGTTGGATTATATGATTTGGTCTATATATGCTCCAATTTGCTTATTGATGCTGTATTTGTTTATACATACATACAATCTTTCTCACATTTTATATCTGCCATGAATCTTAAAAAGACAACATTTCACACGTTTAAAATCATGATTTTCTTCATCTTATTATGTGATAATGTGAGAGACACTTTCTATGAAGTTAGCACACTTAAAACATTAAAAGTAGAATAATAGATGGCTACTCAAATGATGAGTAGGAGTTTCTATTCAAAATTATTCGCTGTCGATTTATAAAACTTCGTATTTATAGTCGGGATTGTCCGCCTCTTCAAAAAAAATAATTCAAACCAAGGTCGTTCAACTATCAAATTGAACAAAAAAAGATGAATGAAATGAGGAAAAACATTATGAATCATCTATGTATTTGTTACAATAAATTGACTACACGATAGTAATTTTTATTTATTTATTTTTAATAAAGATGATCTTTACAAAATAATTTATAATATGAATGATTATAATCATAAGCACAAAGAATATGATCATAAGCATTATTTTAAAAGGTACCCACAGACAAGCTAATATGTGCACTCCATGCATTTGTACAGATTGCCACCTTGGAGGAGTTTTAGTTGATACGCACCACCTGTCACTCTCATGGAGTCATTGCTGACACCCTCATCGCTCAGCAACAAAACTGAACACTTCAGTGCAAAATCCACTTTCTTTGCCGCCACCAAAAGAAAAAAGTAAATAATCCTTCTCCTTTCCCACGATTTCAAACGTCCATCGCCACGTAATTACCCAAAGAATCGATATTTGGTGCCAAAACGAAAACCCCGGAACCCTCGATCAGGGTTCATAATATCGGATTGTCCTGCTGCTTGTGGAGCTTTCCAGAAGATGTTGATTTTTAGCCGAATTTGAGATTAAACCCGGTTAATAATTTTGGGTCGAATTTGCAAACTCTTGGGTTTTTGGTGGTGATTTTGATCATGGGTTGGAAGTACAACGCCGGTTTGGGGTTGATTGGCACAGTTGTGTTCATCTGGGTCGCGTCTGCAGAGGTTACTCAGGTTTGTGTTCATCCAAACCCTCTTTTTTTTTCCAAGTTTGATTCTTTGTTTGTTTTTCTTGCAACCGAGTATGAATCCCCTCTCCGTGTAGTTTACAACGTCGCTAGGGAAAGGAAAGAACTTTACATACTTGAACATCATTGCTAGTCCTCACTATTCCATTTCTGTATTTCTTTGGTGACACATGAGATGCCACTGTGACGGTATGATATCTTGAGTCAATCACGCATACGCGCTATGACTCTCCCAAGTGGCAGTGTGTGATTGACTGATTGAATTGATATATCGCTACAGTGACATCTTCTGTTCTTTCTCTTTTTTAAATGGATACTTAGTTACACTATCTTAGTATTCTCTCATTTAACCAGATATTTGAAGGATGTGTTATTCTGTTGCTATGGTTTCAGATTATTTGAGAATTTAAACTTGTAGTGTTTTTTAATGCAGAGAATTTTCATGTGAGTACAAACAGCCGTTTTCGCTCACGTACCTCGGTGTGTCTCTGATGGCGGTCTATCTACCCATATCGGCATTGAAAGATTGGATCTACAACTTGCTGCACCCAAATTTGGTTAAGAACTTTTACAATGGTATTATCGCGGGAACTTCTGGAGGGCTTGGTATTCCTCTTAGAATAAATGAAATGCCCCACAGTCCAGAAACAGATGTTAGAAGCTGCCTAATTACTGACAAAGATCTTAGTAATACAGAAGAAGGGCGAGCTCTAACGGATAAGAGCAAAGAAGATGAGCCGCGCTTGCTTGAACTGGAGTTGTCAAATTAGTCCATGGGAAGTTGCAAAGTTTGGCTTAATTCTTACTCCAGTGTGGTTTATCACAGAGGTAACATGAGTCATTTTGGCACTCCTGTTATTCACATCAACCTTTTGGACTTCTTATCACATTTTAAATTGAGCGAGTAATTGCATTGAAAAAAAAAAAAAAAAACAGAAATCCACATTGAGGTCTTGGTTCGTTTTGATATGCATGGATTCGTTTTAAGGAAAACTAATGAAAAGGGCTTGAAAACTTTGAGTTTTAACGAAAATGACAAAAAGGTGTTGTAAGTGAATAGTATCAAGATTGACTTTTTAAAGTAAAAGTATGGTTTTTCGTTAAAGTGAACAGTATCAGGAGTTTTTCGTTAAAGTTTCATTCGTTTTATGCTTTGAAAAAAGTTCTAAATGGCATATTGATATATCTTTGTTCTAGTGCAGTATCTGTCAAACTCTGCACTGGCAAATACCAGTGTTGCAAGTACAACTGTCCTAACTTCTACGTCGGGGCTCTTTACACTTTTCTTTGGAGCTCTTCTTCGTCAGGATTCCATAACTGTTACAAAGATGGTTGCTGTTTTTGTCAGCATGGCTGGTGTTGTCATGACCACGGTTGGAAAAACTTGGGCCCCTGATGAACTGCTGGGCATCTCTGAGTAAGTTTCTAGTCGTTTCTCCAGTGGCTCAGCCAGTAGGAATTACTTTTTATTCACGTTTTACCATCATTTCACTGTGTCTTGTTCTTTGTTGAGTAAAGGATTAGAAGGCACGCTATAATGGGACATATTTTTGGTCTTCTCTCGGCTGCGTCATATGGATTGTTTACAGGTGACATTACGTTTCAGGAATCCGGTGTTACTTGAACTCTTTTACAAATGAGTCATCAAGATCAACTGATATATCTGAGAGACAGTTAAGTTATTTTTGGAGTTATGATTATTAAAGTTACTGTCTTATTCATGCAGTGTTACTCAAGAAATTTGCTGGATCAGAAGAGAAGGGAGATAAGGCTGATGTGCAGAAGCTTTTCGGATACATTGGTCTCTTCGCTCTGCTTGGTCTGTGGTGGCTCGGTGAGTAGAATAATTATTCCATGATCTATTTATCGTCTTCATCTTCCAAATTCCTGAGGTTAAATTAGATTATATTTGCTTACAGTCATGGATTTAGGCAAAACTTGATGGCTAGACATTGGTTGCAAAAAGAGAATATGAGTTGGACTATACCTCAAACCATTTACTGTTGGTTATGACTTTCGCACTAGAATACTATTGGCTTGATTGCACACAATGCTCTTTGATGATAGTTCGGGAAGAAAATTGAAAATACGTGTTAAAGTCTTTTCGGCGTTCGTAATGGAGAGGTCTCATAATGAAAAGATAGCACATTCCCTCAGGTATATCATTTTGTTTTCTTTTGAGTTGCATCGCTCATAGCAATGTTTACTCATGCAGTGTGGCCGCTCAATGCCATCGGGATTGAACCTTCATTTGAGTTTCCACATTCAAAATCTATTGCCGAAGCTGTGCTGATAAATGGCTTTGTCGGGAGTGTTCTTTCAGATTATTTTTGGTATGTAAAACTGCTTTCACATACATTGGAGGTCAATTGGGCACCACAAGGACATGTAACGATAACACACTGATTTATGTTCATGTAAAAAAAATATCTTTTTCTAATCCTTACAAAAACAGCACGACTGCCTTTTCAGAGACAAATTTATAAGAGGTTGGTTCGAGTCTGTTGTGTGGTGGCCAATCGTACTCTCTACTTACCTATACTTGCTGCTTCTTTTTTTCGTCTACCAACAAGATGCTGATGCCCACTGCTTTTAACGCCACATGAAACTTTGACAGGGCTCTTTCCGTGGTTTGGACATCTCCATTAGTTGCAACGCTGGGCATGTCCTTGACAATTCCACTCGCAATGGTAGCTGACATGGTGATTCACGGCCGCCATTTTTCTGCAGTCTACATCCTTGGTTGCATTCAGGTACCTTGCGCTACTGTATGCATACATTCAAGTTTTTAACATCATGTTATATTCATATTGCGACATGAGGCTTGAATTTCCGCCTTCTAACATCTAACCTCATGTCGGTTGGGGAAGCCTATTAAGTACTGTTGTGACGGAGCTCCTAACTGCATAGCAGTTTTTTCGCAACGGTAAGTCATACGCTAACTGCGTTTCTATGAGCTCAGGTTTTTGCTGGATTCGTGATGGCAAACCTTTCGGACAAGTTCTCGAGCAAGCAAGAGTTGCAATAGTGATGCATAGAAATCTCAGTGAAGTTGTAGTTTGTATGTAGAATGAATATGTCAATTACATATGTACATATATGCAGGAAATATCAGCTGCCCCTTACATTGTATACAACAAACTTGTATGACTCTCTCTCTCTCTCTCTCTCTCTGATTTTTTGGTGGGTTTTCATTTTCTAATTTGTTTCTGTTAACCAAGAAATTGCTAAATCAAGTTTCATCTGCACCAATGATGAAGCCATCACTGAAGCTTGATAAACAAATTTCAGAGATTTTCACAAAGTTTGGTAATTCATTTTTTGTTAACTTCTTGCAAGTTTGGAATGAAAAAAGCCCATTTAGCATGTTTTCTAAAAACGCTTTCAAGAAATAAAATTTTTTTTTGACAATATTTGGCAGAAAAACTTATGACTTTTTTTCTTTTGAGTTGTTAGATTACTACTTAACACTTCATAGGGTTTGTAAGACAACATGTTTGAGAACGTTTCCATAGACAAAACTTCTGCTTAATCGTTTATTCTAAAAGTGCTTTTGTCATAATACGTCAACGTGTTTATAAAAAAATAAAACCACTCCTACTTAATAAGTGCATTATCATACTTTTTTTTGTTTTTTTTTTTTCCGAATGAACTTGGAAAATTAAGCTCGTTTATGATGAATTGTGTCTATCATAATAATATACATTATTAATGAGATTCGAATTTAAAATTTTTGATGAAATTTTGACCTAGTTAATGGGGCCTAACTTTTAAATTAAACAAAACAGTTTATTTTCCCTGGAAATTACAGAGTCACAAAGCTGACACATGACATCGATCGAAGTTTGAATCCACCTCCAACCTTACCTTTTAATCGATTGGCGACCCGACACATTGAGAATTGAGAATTGAGAGCGCAGACTCATACATATTAGTCGGATCAAATCGAAGAGCGGCGCTGCGACTCTACTGCTGCAACTGCGTCTGAGAAGAAGACGACGACGGCGACGATGGAGAAGGGAAAGGGAGTGATGGGAGCAGGTCGGAGATGGGCCGTTGACTTGACTGACAACTCAACTTCCCCTTCTTCCCGCGACTTCCCCGACCCTCCTGGCTTCTCTCGCGCCTCCCTTGAACAGGTTTTTTACCCCCTTCTCTCTCTTGCTTCTTCGCTCGATTTGGATTGGGAATTTGGGGTTGGGTTTGTTCCCAATTAATTGGTGGGGTTTTTGTTTTTCTGTAGGATGATTCGACTGTGAGTCGCCAGAAGAAGGATGCTGAATCTACTTGGAAAGCTCAGGTACTGATTCCCCTCCCTAAATTCGAATTTATCTAAGCAATTCGATTTAGGGTTTTTTAGACTTCGGATTTCAGACAGTTTGATGGGCAAAAGATTGTTCCTTTTCCTATTAACTTGATAATAATCACTTGATCGCAAATAGGGCATGATTCAAGTTGCTGATGGATTACAATTTTAGCTGTTTTTCATGCTGAATTTTCTTGACCCGTGTTAATATCGATGAGAATGTGGTGAGATTCAATTATTTGGGTTTATGTGATCTCATGGTGTCTTTGTGTTTGAGCAGAAAGCTTGGGAAGTTGCACAGGCCCCATTCAAGAATTTGATGATGATGGGTTTCATGATGTGGATGGCTGGGAGCACGGTGCATTTGTTTAGCATTGGAATTACGTTTTCCGCTCTTTGGCAGCCCATAAGCGCCTTACAGGGTGTAGGGAAGGGTAAGATGACTGTAATACTGTTTGCCAATCTGTAACTCTATATGTGTGGAATAACAATTGAAAGCAATAAAGAACTTGAAATATTCTCTACTTGCTTGTCTATGTCGCTGTATAATCGTATGAATGGTTTCCTATAACCATCAGTCATGGCATTTGGGCGGTCAACATAGTGTTCATTTACTTGCACAAAATTTACCAAACCAATTTGTAAAAATGGTCTTGTTTGGCATGATTCATGCTGTCCAATGCATTTTTCCTATGACTTCTCACCATGTTCACATTTCCAAGCAATTTTTTTCGTGACATACTTTACGTGTTTATCTGTTAATTCATGCTTACACTCTATTTCCTTGTCAGTTGCTTGATGCTTCCTTTTAATGTGGTTCTGCAGTTTTTGAGCCCTACAAGGACGGCAAAGTAGATCTTATTGCCCCAAAGTTGCTCTTCATTGCGCTTAATTTGGGGGGTTTAGCACTGGGTGTTTGGAAGGTGAACTATATTTGTTCTCCTTTAATTGATTTTTCCCCAACAGTTAATCTTCAAAGAATCCAGTTTCTTAAATTTTGATTTTTCTTGGCAGCTTAACACTTTGGGGTTGCTTCCTACACATGCATCTGATTGGGTTTCTTCCTTACCCCCTGCTCAGGTGAAAATCTTCCTCCTAAGGCGATTTAATTTCATTTGGCATGTGGCATTTTCTTATATTACTTTGAAGCATATCATTTGTTCTAGAAATGTCAGAACCACTTTTTCTGTCCTTAGCAGTCGGAATCATGGAACCATTGTTGGCTTACACTGCTTCATCCAACTTTGTTTCTGATAATAAAGTTGATTTACAAAACAGTTCCTTGTGGTGGAGAACTCTCCCTCCACTTCTGAATCAGTTAACATAGCACCTTGGTGGAGGTAGTTCAAGAGGATTGGATTTAGGGTACCGGAAAAGTTCGAATGGAAGTTTACTCGTGCAAAGTAGAGGTAGTTAAAGAGGATAGTTGGATCTATTACACTATGTTTTGATGAAGAAATTTAAGATTACTAAGGAATTTAAAAATGACGGAAATTGAAATGATGAGATTTTGTATTTCATATCATATGAAACACTATAGTACACTTCAGATTACAGTTAGATGCAAAAATCTGTTTATTGTACATTACATACATGTCGACGTGGTAATGTTATTTTCTTTTCAATCGGTAATTAACTCGTGCGCTTCATTTGTCTGTAAGGTCATTAGTGTTATGGATATCATTCTTAGCGGCTTTTCCTAGCTGGTTTCTACCTTAAAGCTCTTTATAACTTCTTTTTTGCCTCCAAATTTCAGGAGGTTGAGTATTCGGGTGGTGGCATTCTTCGTTATTGACATCAACGTTCAGTTTGAATGGCGGTCAATCTCAAGAAAAGGATGAACGGCAACTTGCAGAAGCAGGATGAGAATTTGTTGCTGTTTACTGGCCGATGGCGCATGGCTTAAGCATGGATAATGTGATTCTTCCGTGTTCTGAATGATATTACTACGTTTTGTTGGCAATAGAAACTCAGTTTGTAGTACTTGTTTAAGTGACTCGATGAATTACCATACAATCTATAATTTTAACACTTTCATTTGTGCTAGCAGTTTACATGGTGATCTATATTAAATTCTGCTTTGGGTGAACTGTAGATTTAGCCCCTCAATTATACACGAGTGGGAATTGGGTTCCTAAATTATTTGATTCAGAAAATTAAGTCCTTCGACTCTGAAAAGCTGCAAATTTCTTCTTAGATTTGAAGATGTTTTATTCTATTTTTTATTCATAAAGGTCACGTGACTTAGATTGTCACATTCTGGCCCGCGTGCATGTTTTGATTTCGGTCAAGGTGTGTAATAGATTGACAAAAAATTTAGATAGAATAGTTTCAAGCTTAATGATAGGGATGAAATTGACAATTTTTAAGAGTTTAAGGACTTAATTTTCTTAAAAATAAACATCCAACCCCGGTATCAAGTAGGTGCAGAAATCAGAGACGTGTTGGCTATCACTTAAATAGATAACATAGACATAACATGCTTGAAGATCTAACTAAATGATCGCTGCTACCACTACCAAGTCATGAGATGGCACAAAACATAAGTGTGAGTTAACGAAAAATAATATTTTTTAAAAACATTTTGTTTTTTGACACATTAATCCCCTGTTTTGTAAACACACATAACTAATATTGTTCTTAGTCGTATATGTTGTTTTAAATAACACAACTGTGCTGCAATACTTGTCAACAAAGCACGACAGTTGGATTAGGGTTTCCAACGGGTATCACAGAGACAGATTCAGAGTTGAAGAAAATAGAGAGGCAGATAGTGATTTATCTTCATTTGAGAGAGAGAGAGAGAGAGAGAGACAGCGCGCGCCCGTTGGGGTTCGATTTCTGTGCTTCTGAAATATGATTTTAATCAAATAAGTGTTCGAACCGTACGAACCTTTCTGAGCAGCCGAACCGGGTCGAAGAGCAGGTCGAACCGAACGAACCGGGAGGTCCGGCGACCAAACCGGGTCGGGCCGAATTAACCGGTTCGGACCGACGAACCGGGTCGAGCCGGACGAACCGGGTCGAACAGAACGAACCGGGTCGGAACGACGAACCGGATCGGACCGACAAACCGGGTCGGACCAAGAGAACCGGATTGGACCGGACGAACCGGGTTGGACCGAAATGAACCGTCAACCGCCGGTCTGGCAGAGCCGTTACGTTCCGGTGAACCGGTCCGAGCCGCCTAAAAGTCTGGCCGGTTTCTGGAGAAAAAACGCCGGCAAATTCAAGGAATTTTGAATTTTGCAGCTTCGATTTAACTCCAATTTCAACCAAAGCTCACAACCAACGCACTAAATTTGTACCGGAGATGTCAAACAACAGATTGGGGCTACTATGGACGGCTGGATAGTCGGGATCCGGCTCCGATATCGGCGGAAATCGGGGAAAACCCCTGTTCGAATCTGCGTTGAATCAACACCAAAACCTGTGATTATTACACGATAATAGTCCTAATTAACGAGGTCAAGTTATTGGTGAGGGTTGGAGGTCTTACCGACGCTTCAAGCGGCGAGAAACTCGCGATCATGTCGGAGGCGTCCGGGACTTGGCTTCGAGTCTTCCAACAAAAATGGAATCGTTGAACTCGTGGCGAGGTGGAGATGGTGATAGTGGCGGTTGATTGTCTTAACTCGCAATGAAACGGCAGGGTTTGTTCCTCCTTTTTTTCTGGGTTTATCGACAACGCAAGGGAGAGAGAGCGAGAGTGTATTTTCTGGAGAGAGGATGAAAAGCACGCAGAGAGAGAACGGAAATCCTTGTGGGTCCCAGCGACCCCACCAAGCCAGATTGATTTCTCCATAAATTATAGAGTGCATTTTTTATTGCATCATTTAGTGTGTATGTTCATCATCCTATTTATCATCGTTAGATGAATTTAAATTTTAAGATTTGTACTTATCCATTACACGAATTTCAAAATTTAAATTCATAAATAGGATAGTAAACATAGATCACAATAAATGATGGTAAGCAAAAAAACCTAATAATAAACCCGCAAAAAGAACCATCCAAATCACTTTCAATATCTACCGTTCATTTTTGGTGGGCGAGCAACTTAAAAATCAGACGATCGATTTCATCTACTCTGATACTTTCCTCCAAAGTCTTGGTGTTTACCAACGTCGCCCTCACCAACAAAGCGATGGAGTTCACAGCGCAGCACCTGATCCAGTACAACGGCACCGACCCATCGAAGCCCATATACGTGGCGCTCAATGGCCGAGTCTTCGACGTCACGGACGGCAAGTCGTTTTACGGTCCCGGCGGGCCGTACGTGATGTTCGCCGGAAAGGACGCTAGCAGGGCTTTGGCTAAGATGACCAAGAACGACGAGGACATCACCGCCTCCCTCGAGGGCCTCACGGAGAAGGAGATCGGCGTCCTCGCCGACTGGGAGAAGAAGTTCGAAGCTAAGTACCCAGTTGTTGGCCGCGTCGCATCTTGAAAAAGTCTCCGCCTTTTATCAAATTTAAGTGTTGGCTGTATCTAACTTGAAGTGAAATAAGTGCTTTTGGAAAATCTGCTTCTGTGTGATTTTGTACAATGTATCTGATCTTGGATGTTGTGTATGTTTAGATGCCATGGATGTGAATAAATAATCAAATATTATGGTTGGTGCAATTGGATTCATGAATCATAGCCTGTGTGCTTGAATGATTTTTGGATTTTAGGCCGAGAATATATGCAAATTTGTGCAGTTTACTGTATTTTGTTCATCGAAATCTCCATTTCTGGTGTTGTATGGATTATCTGCGTTTTCCCTATATTGGCATTTGGTAGTGAGGGCGGACTTACCACCGCCTAAGATTCCATTGATGCAGTATCTTAAGTCAATCACGCTACCATAACCATATGAGTAAGTTAAACACATGACAAATTGGCTTGAGATACCATCACATTGGTGTATCGGGTGTAGGTAAGTTTCGCGTGATGAGTGCTGGTTTCGATTTCTAGGGTAACGGCATTGTTTCTGATTCGTACCAAGTCTGCTGCTGTAAATCAGCAGCAGCAGAAGATCTGGCAACACACGATTAGAGCTTCAACATGTTGGCAACTACTGGTTTTGGCCCTTCAACTTTGCCATATCAGTCGATCTTTCCAGGTCCTTTTCTTTCGGCTTTCCTCACCAGCATCGGTTGAAAGGTATTCCGTTCATAGATTTTGGATGGAACGAAAATCTTACGCAACATCTGGCAACATACAAGTTCTTAGGGTGGAATTGGATCATCTATGCAGATTGCAGTGCTTAGTGCATTCAAGGGTAATTTTACAGAGTTTATGTTTATGATTGCAGTAACTCTACATGTGTTGCGATGAATATACTCAAAATGCGCCGATTGCGGCAAAGTCTTGGGCAACCGGGTGTATATTTTCTTGTGCCTATCTCTCTCGGCACGTGACACGTCACTTGAGGAGAGAAATAAGCTTAACAGATATAATCTGGGTTCTCCTTCGCTCTTCTGATGCACCGAAAGTTTGATGTGTAAAAGCTTGTTTCTTTAGCTTGTCTGAAACAAGTTAATAGTCATCATTCATTGTACTTTGTACTTTGGCACGCAACTGACTATAAGTTATAACCTTTCTTTTGTAAAGCTCCGACATAGTGTTTTTCTTTTAGTAAAGCTCAAGTTCAATGAATTCTACTGCTCCCTTTCATAGAATGGGCCATCATAACATCCACTTCCATTCAAGCATGAAACATATTGGAATCGATTGATATTTCAATATCGATGGCCACTTATGAAAATGATAAAAATGTGCTTAAAAACATTGACGGAAATGATAAAATGTGTTGAGCGCTAAAAAGTATGAGAAATCGGTTAAAATAATAATTTTCTAAGTCTTAGTTACTGAAATGATAAGATTTCGGTATGTCATTAATATCTGATTGTTATGTGATTAATAAGTTGTTGACACTTAATTTTGATTTCTTATTCCAAAAATGTTGAAGTTTAGAAACTTAAGAAAAAATTTGTTTGACAAACAATAAGGTTAGTAAGTTAAATTGTTAGTTGTTAGAAGTTTGAACTTGCATGTAACATCTCACATCGCTCAGGAGAGTAGATCCTCTAAGCCTTATATGTATATTCTCATCTCTCGCTAGCACGAGACCTTTTGGGAGCTTACTGACTTCGAGTTCCGTAGAAACTTCGAAGTTAAGCGAGTTTGCGCGAGAGCAATTCCTGGATGGATAATCCATTGGGAAATTCAAAGTGGTGCAGCGGAAGCGTGGTGGGCCCATAACCCACAGGTCCCAAGATCGAAACCTGACTTTGATACCAAATTATCACATCTTGTCATGGGCCCCCACCAAATTCCGGGCTCGACTTCACCGTAGCACGATATTATTCATTTTGAGCCCTGACCACACCTTCATGGTTTTGTTTGTGGGATGTTACATCGCACCAGAGTAACATCCATTATTTTAAGTGTTAAAAGTTTTTACGGTTTTGATCAAGTTTCTGATCAAGTAACATCCATTAATCATCCATTATTTTAACGGGACCCGATCACTTTCTGATCAAGTTTTAACGGTTTTGATCTCTCTTCATTATTTTAAGTGTTAAAAGTTTTGACGGTTTCGTACAATATTAACTTTGGATGTGTAAGTGTCTAGTGTTTTTCGAGGTTTTCAAGTATTTTCTTCTGAACATATACTTTTTTTCGTGCGATGTTTGCACGAATTCCTAAATTAAAGAGCTCAAAATAAATTGAAAATTTAGAGGACAAAGTGAAATTTGGTCGAAAATATATGGAGCATTCCTAAAGTCCTTCCTATATCATTTTCACATTTTTTTAATTCTTATCTTTTTCACATTTTAAATTTTTTAGTACAATGACATGTTTTACATTAAAAAGATAAAAAGTTTAACTAAATCACACAACGAACCATTTAAATTAATGTCAAATTTACCGTTTGCGAGATTCGAATCGTAATACAGAATGATTACTTTCTAAATTAAATTCATACTATACAGTATACAGTAATAGACTCCTTGAGTCGGTCTACAAAGTCATAATATAACCAAAAAGCATCTTCTTCATCCTTCGTCTTCCTTCGAGTCATCCCCAAACCGAGCGCAGAAAAGTCCTTGCCTCTCTCTCTCACTCTCTCTCTCATCTAATCCAAATTCCTTCTCCATCTCTTCACTGCAATATTGGATCTGCTTTCCCAAGTTTAATTTATTGTTGGGTTTATTAATCTATTAATTTTACCATTTTTTTCTTAATAAAGTTTTAATCTTTCTGCGATTTCTAACAAATTCGACCTTCCCTTTCCCAAAGTCTCCATCAAAACATGTCGACAAGGAAGCCTTCATACGCAAACCCAAAACCCTGCAACCACCTCTCAGCTTACAAGCTCAAATATGGCTCCAGCGGCTACAAATCCCTCCAAAAATCCCTCAAATCTGCTCCCAACGGAAGAACAAGCGTTCGGATTCATGAAACAAAGATACCCAGATGCAGTTTCTGTAATGGGTTCGAAGGTAGACTCTATATTTGCTTGATTTGCTCTTCGGTTTCGTGTTCGAATCACGCAGTTCTGCATACCCAGTTGGAAATCGGCCACGATTTGGCCGTCGATGTCCAAAGGGCCGAGCTTTTTTGCTGTGCGTGCTCCGATCAGGTCTACGATCCCGATTTCGATAAGTCCGTGATGGCTAAGCACATGCTGGACTTGCCGTGCAGCACAAACAGTGCGGATAGTATTGGGGAGAGGCTGTGTGAGAGGAAGAGGCTGGGGGGTTCGGGTGTCGTATTATCGGAGTTTAAAAAGCCCGAAAAATCGGGTTTTGTGAGGGATCACAGGGCGAAATCGTGTTATCCGTTGGGTTTGAGGGGGTTGAATAATTTGGGGAATACTTGTTTTATGAACTCTGTGTTGCAAGCACTGCTACATGCGCCTCCATTGAGGAATTACTTCTTGAGTGATCGGCATAGCCGCAGAACATGCCGGAAAAGGACGGCAAACCGGCTGTGTTTGCCTTGTGAGCTTCACGGTGTTTATTCGGCTGTGTATTCCGGCGATTGGACTCCTTATAGCCCGGCTCAATTGCTTTACAGGTCTGCATTGCTGTGTGTGTGTGATCTTTGGTTACAGCATATCGTGCCGAGTTTATAATGCTTAAGCTTTTGGTTTGTGGATTGATTTATATTTGATAAACACTGTTTCGGGATAGTCGCTTTTTGTCTGTGTCTGCAGTGTTGCTTCTAAAGATCCTTTGATAATTCAAGAAGTATTGTAGTGCTATGTTAGTAAGCGTAGATGAAGTTTAATAACCCATGAATCGTTAAGTCACTTTCCTGCAAAATGCATAATGTTTATGTCTAATTAGAAATCACATGGATTTGCTGGAACCGATGGTACCTTTTATGCAATGTGGGATCAACTCCTGTGATTTGTTGCTAGATTCGTTGCTAGTTCTTCTATGCTGGAGCTTGCTTTTGGACTGATTAAAATTTTCTTTACTTCAAGTTGGTGGCAGCATTCGGAGAATCTGGCAAGTTACGAGCAGCAGGACGCTCATGAGTTCTTCATTTCAGTGTTAGATGGGATCCATGAGAAAGAAACCAAAGCAAGGAACCATACTAAAGGTAATCATAGGCGATCAGATGAGTTTTAGATCGTACATTGTAGAAGTAAGAGATGCATGTGAAATTGTTTGTTTTTACGGTGGTCAATAGTTCGCTTTTACATATGAAGTTATCCTTTGTTTCACAGATAGTGGGGACTGCCAGTGTATTGCGCATAGGGTATTCTCAGGACTGTTGAGGTCGGATGTCACTTGTATGACTTGTGGATTCACCTCAACAACTTATGACCCATGTTTGGACATATCTCTCAACTTAGACACAAGCCGCTGTTCTTGGTCAGATGCATCTAACAAGCCTGCCAAAGCGAATGGCAGCAGCTGTTCATCCACTCTTTTGGGTTGTTTAGACTTGTTTACAAAACCAGAAAAGTTGGGGTCAGACCAGAAACTGTACTGTCAGAACTGTCAAGAACTCCGAGACTCTTCGAAGCAAATGTCCATCAGAAAGCTTCCGATGGTGTTGTGTTTGCATATAAAACGGTTTGAGCACTCCCTGGTCAGAAAGATGATGAGGAAAATTGACAGCTATTTGCATTTTCCATTCTCGCTAGACATGACTCCCTATCTGTCCTCTTCGATTGTCAGAAACAGATTTGGAAATAGAATCTTTGCTTTCGAGGGGGATGAATCTGAGATGTCTACCGAGTTTGAGATTTTTGCAGTAGTTACTCATTCCGGGACACTAGATTCCGGCCATTATGTGACGTATTTACGCATACAAGACCAATGGTACAAATGTGACAATGCTTGGATTAATGAGGTCGATGAGGGGATTGTAAGAGCTTCACAGTGTTATATGATGTTCTACGTGCACAAGACGCTGTACTATAAAGCAAACATAGATTTGCGTCACTTGCCGGTTTCCACACAGAAGGAAGCATTTCAGAGGATGGCTGGTTGCTGCTAGAGGAAATGTTTCGAATGATTATAGTGTCTACAGTTCTCCGAACAAGAAATGGGCTTTCGATATACATTCGAGGCAGGTTATGAATCGATTGAGACGGAGACTGCCTCTGCCGAAGCAACCTCTTCAAGAATCCGATCCCTTTGGTCCTAAGGAGATCACATCGGAAAGGCATCATCAAATTGCAGATCTCTGAAGATGATCATGATTTGAAGCAGAGATACATAAATGTATACAAACTCCATATCTACTGCTAGTGATTTGTTACTGGGTATTTTATGAGGGGATTTTGGGAAAACTGATGGGACTAATTTGAAAAAAACTTGTTCATGTTGGGGTTTATTTTACAAGATTTCTTGCCCAGCATTCTTTTGACTGCAAGGTCAGTCATGTACATAACTAAACTGATATTTGAAACTAATATTTATTTTTTGGGGTTCCACTAATTATTGCCCTTCCACTTTCTAAATGTTGATATGATTTGTTAGGATATAAGCAGTCTTCGTTAAACCACATTTTGTTTTATGTGCAGAAGGGGTTGATAAACCTTTTTATGTATTCCGAACACGGTCACATGGTTTTACCATTCATTGAGTTATGATATGAGCGACTAGAGAGTCCCACTGGTATATTAGTAAAAACAAAAGAATATGCATATGATAGTTTGAATGAATAGCAATATTAGGTTACGATGTTTCAAGTATGCTGAAAATTACTCATAAATAGAATAATGGATAGACGAAATGGGATAAAATGGGATAGGATTATACACCAAGTAATAAGATGTTTCAAGTATGCCGAAAATTACTCATAAATAAAATAATGGATAGACGAAATGGGATAAGATTAAACACCAAGTAATAAGCAAGACAAAGACAATGAAGAACAAATCTTTTCATTCCTCACTTGTTCATAATCACGAAGTCAATCTCACTCTAGCCTTGTTATTGTGAGAAGAGATGAAGAGTCAATTTCGCTCCAGTATTGCTATCGTTGAAAGAAGACGATGAGGTAAATTTATTGAAGGAAATGAAAAGAAAAGTACATACGACGTTAGGTTCCATGTTCAAATTTGACAAGTTGAAAGAGGGCCACGAAGGATCTAGTGCACAGGTCCAAGCAATGAGAATCACCAGAGAAATGCTTTCAAGGAATCACTTTCCAATGCTCGCAGCAAGTTCTCATGGTAATGGTGAAGATGATCACAATTTCAGTTGAAAATCTATTAATATGATAAGTATATAAATAATAAATGTGCTATAAATACTTAAGGATTAAGTACTTAAAATTCTCTAATCTTTTAGTATCATTTTGAATTGATCTCAATTTTTTTAAACATTTCAAATAAGTACCCAACTTATCGAAAATGTCACATTCGTTAAGCTTTAGTTAAATTTCTGTTAAATTAACTTAGATTTATATTGTTTCCAAAAGTAATAGAAGACCATTAAAGCATGACATCCATCAACTAATGATCGTCACCACCCCTATTAGGCTATCACTTCTAAACCCAACACACATCCACCAACTCTATCCTACAACTCAAGGCTGCTCCAGCACACGAGCAAAACAAGTATAGTATGGCGGATGGGAGTGGACAAGAAAGGTATCTACTTCGCATCATCACCCACGTGGAACTTCAACATATTGAACCTTTGTTTTTTTTTTTTTTTGGAAGAGAGGGGGGGGGGGGGTTGGGGGGAGAGCGGCGAACTTCATTTTTGTTTTCTATCTTATTTGTGAAATTTTCTATTTATTTTATTTTTCATCTTTATGTTTTTTTTTGAATTTATTATTATTATTATTATTATTATTATTATTAGGGAATTGTTATTAGCATTTCAAAAATCTCATTCTACACTCTAAACTTTCTATATTAGGAAATAAAAATACACTTATGATGAATGTAGACTAAGATTTTTGGAGTGCCAATAACACTTCCCTTATTATTATTATTATTATTATTATTTGTGATCAAGGAAGCTAAAAAGGAAGTAGGATATTCTCATCTCTTTTTTTCCTTCCTCTTCACGTCAACATTTTATATATATATTTTTTTATAGAGAGAAAGACAAAGTGAAGAATGTGAGAGGACGGCAGGTAAGAGGGAAATAGGTCGGAAGAGAATTATAGTCCTCTAAAAAGTGTGACTCCTTGTTAGCACACATACATTTAACAAAAAAAAAAAATTAAATGGGATATAATGGATGTGACATTTTCAATAGGTTAGGTCCTTCATTGAAATGTTTCAAAAAATGAGACTAATTTAAAATGACACTAAAATATTGGAAGGTTTTTAGTACTTAATCCAATACTTAAATATGGTAAGTTTTAAACTTGAATTAAATTTTGGAAAACTATTTAGGCTAAATCCTAAAAAGAATCGTATTTAAGCCAGAAAATCTCAAAATTCATTCTTTTTTAGCTTGGTATAAATATGACAAAAAGTTTTTAATGTGTTTGAAACACAGGATGACAGATCACATATCCTTTTATAATTAGAGACAGTTTTTTTAATTCTGTTCAATGATATAATAATAACATATTTCGTATTACCAGGCAGCCACTGTGAAATCTCTCTCATCACGGTGAGCGGGTGACTTTTGAGATGGGCAATGACCTCTCTCTTGTTTTCTTCTCACTGAGTCCAAATGATTTTGCTGCCAAAAAATTCCACGCATTAAACCAAGATCGAATTTTGATAAACGAAATGGAGTAAAACTGTGAACCTTTAACCTTGGTTATAGTCAACGTCGGGGAAGGTAAGAGATACCCTTCTTCTCTGTTCTTCTGCTACCTTGAAGCTATATCTACCAGGAGCCCTTTGATCCACGGTCCACCTTCCTCAGATCCATCACTGTGAATTAATTTCAGAAAGCTGCTGCTTCTGTGCTTGCTTTTTCGTTTTCTGGTTTTCTGTTGTGGTCGTGGTTGTTGGAGCTTTTATAAGCAGAAGCCAAAATCAAGATCAGAAATTTGAAGCTTCTCTGAGAAGAATCTATCATTTGGAAGAAACCCAGTTCGAGAAAAGCTGAATCTCGAACTGGGTTTTTCAATTTGAGGCAGAAAGTTCAGGAATCAGATTCCAATTTTTCAGGAAACAACACTGATCTGCTTTCTGGGTTGTTGTGATTTTCTGCAAATTTGTATCGGGAAGTGAGTAATGGTGGAGGAAGAGGAGGAGGTTCTGAATCCCTCCGGCGATATTGCAGAGGAAAAAGAGCCGGAAAAAGGGTGTTGTGGAGCTCTCTGCACTCCAATCCAATGGTTCAGAATGCTATGCGTGGAACTGCATTGGAGTTTTGTATTGGGGGTGGTGGTCGTTTATGGAGTAAGTCAAGGACTCGGCGGAGCTCTTTATCGCGTCGGCACGGAGTATTACATGAAGGATGTGCAGAAGGTGCAGCCTTCTGAAGCTCAATTTTATCAGGGAATCACCAATATTCCTTGGCTTGTCAAGCCTCTCTGGGGCCTCCTCACTGATGTTCTTCCCATTTTCGGGTATCGAAGACGGCCTTATTTCATTATAGCAGGTAAATGATGCTGCTTTAGTTTCATGTTAATTCAAATTTAAAATCTTTTTTTTTTTAGTTTTGTGTGTTTTGATGTTCAATTGATGTGCTCAGACTTGGCCTTAAATTCCACAAACTATGCATCGATACCATGTTGGTACGTTTTCTCGGACATATTGGCAGTCTGTCTTTATTAAATAACGGACGTCCATTCCATAACCGGACTATTCTAATAGACGAAAATATCAGTTGAACTATTGCTTTTTTTCGTAGCTTTTGCTTTTTTTACGAAAAAAGGAAATTCGAACATTCCGCATGGATTTATGAGGTGACATGTGTAGGAGTTTCTAGCTGACATGGTGTCCTGATTAGCTCATCAATGCCATGTTTTTATTAGGTTCTGTTGGTGTGATGGCAATGCTCGTTTTATCGTTCCATGCAAAGTTGCACATTGCACTTGCCCTCTTGGCATTAACAACCGCAAGTGGTGGAGTGGCTGTCGCAGATGTGACCATCGATGCGTGTGTGGCACAGAACAGTATTAATCATCCTAGTCTCGCAGCCGATATCCAGAGCCTGTGTGCCCTGAGTTCCTCCATAGGAGCACTACTGGGGTTCTCTGTTAGCGGTATCTTCGTTCATCTTCTAGGCCCTAAGGTCAGTTTATTTTCACTTGTATCTGTTCAAGTTTTTATAACTTCTTAGAAAAAATGGCATTTTTAACATTAGAGTTTCTTTCTCCTCTTCCTTGGTAGGGGGTGTACGGCTTGTTGGCAATCCCATTTGGACTTGTGTTCTTAATCGGAACTTTGATCAAGGAAGCTCATTCACCAAACTTCGCTTACACGCAGGTAGTCCTTTGCTCGATTCTGGGTTTCTCTCTTTCATGCTCACGATTTAATGTCGCATGTTGGGCACAGGTGAATCAGAAGTTTGTCGATGCTGGCAAATCCATGTGGACAACATTGAAATGCCCTGATGTATGGAGACCATGCGTATACATGTACTTTTCCCTTGCATTGAGCTTGAATATCCTCGACGGAATGTTCTTCTGGTATACAGACTCGAAAGATGGTCCACATTTCTCTCAGGTATTCGACAATTACTAATTAGAGTGGATTTCATTACCTCAGTAATCGCTATATGAATTTAATCAGTCACATCTTTATGCAGGAGAATGTTGGATACATATTCTCAATAGGTTCAGTTGGTTCCCTTTTGGGGGCAGTACTCTATCAAAATGTTCTAAAGGATCATCCTTTCCGGGACTTGCTCTTCTGGACTCAGTTGATTTACGGGGTGTCAGGAACATTAGACTTGATGCTCGTTTTGCGATTGAATCTGAAGTTTGGCATACCCGATTATTTCTTCGTTGTGATTGATGAAAGTGTATCTCAAATGACCGGAAGGCTCAAGTGGATGCCTCTTCTTGTACTCAGCTCAAAGCTTTGTCCCCCTGGAATCGAAGGAACTTTCTTCGCTCTGCTTATGTCGATTGATAATGTTGGACTTGTCTCGGCAACATGGGGAGGAGGCATTTTACTGCACGTATTGAAGGTTACACGGATGCAATTTGATAATCTCTGGCTAGCCATTCTGATTAGGAACTTTTTGAGATTAGCTCCTCTTTGTCTGCTGTTTTTGGTGCCTAGAGCTGATCCGAAATCTTCGATTCTTCCGACCGAAATCGCAAACACGAAAGAGGATATCGAAACAATGGAAACAAAGAACGTTGAGTTAGTCTCCCTTGTAAACAGAGCAGACCATCGATAGCCCGACTACGAGAAATTTACACCAAAATCGTTTTTGGTTTCAAAAGCATACTTGAAGACCAAGCTAAAGTTGGAAATGTGCTACTATCACACACATTTTTTTTATTATTATTTTCCGCATTTTGTTAAATATTGGGAAATATATTTCATGGTAGTCCAACTATGTATGGTGAGATGCATTAAGAAAATTGTTTGGATGAATTAAAATTATATTCGTTTTTCTTCTATTGCACGTTCAGATATAATACTGGTCTACATGCCAACTGTTCTAACTTACATCTGTTCACTTAGCTGAATTTGAATACAAAATTTTTTGGTCATTGAAGGGTGAAGAAGATAGTTTGTTATCTGAGGGGAGAGAGAGTACCCGAGATAACAATAGTAACAACGCAGGGAAGTGAGTTCCGCACTCACTTTTCCTTTCTTTGCTCCTTCGTTTTTTCGAGCCTAGAGAATATAGAGACAAAAATAAGGTGAAGAGTGAAGAAAAAAAAAACAATTAGGAGAGTGAAAATCACCTCCCAAACAAAAAACCAAGATCTTGTAAATTAGACTAAGGTGTGCATAGATTCGGTTGATTAAACCACTTATTACTATTATATTTTAGTGGTGTATCTCATGAAGCAAAAGTGTGACGTTCGAATTTCGAGAATAATTTGATACCAATTTAGACACATTGTGCGAGTGCGACTCGGTCCAAATCCGGCACTCCACAGTTAATTACATCGTCATCTATTGAAAAAAAAAAAAAAAAAAAAATTTGGTTGGTGAAAGTCAACTTGGCGCCCTTCTCAGTTCTGCTAACTTGGAGGCTTGCAGCTAGCTATGAGGTTTTTTTAATCCATCTCGATCTTGAAGTTAGCTGGTTTTTCATTTTTCTGAGATCCATAACTAACCAGAAAAGAATGAAGTACGCCATCATTGCAAAATTATTCAAGAAAGCTGCTGTCTCTGTGTTTTTAGTTTCGTCTCGAAGAAACTCAGTTCAAGCTTCCTTCCGGAGTTTCCAATAGTTTCGAAGAAACCCAGATCGAAAAAACCGAAAACTCGAACTGGGTTTTGTAGGTTTTTCAATTTCAAGCATTGTTCAGGAAACACAGATTCCCAGAGTTCAGGAAACTCTGATCTGGTTGCTGAGTTGTTGTTGTTTCCTGCAAATCTGTATAGGAAGTGAGTGATGGTGAAAGAGGAGGAGGAGGTTCTCGATCCCTCGGGCGATACTACATACGAAAGTGAACCCAAAAAAGCGTGCTGTGATGCTCTCTGCACTCCAATACAATGGTTCAAAATGCTCTGTGTGGAATTGCATTGGAGTTTTGTATGGGGGGTAGTTGTTGTTTATGGAATAAGTCAGGGACTGGGAGACGCTCTTTCTCGCATCGGTACGGAGTACTACATGAAGGATGTACAGAAGGTGCAGCCTTCTGAAGCCCAATTTTACCAAGGAATTATCTATATTCCTTGGATTGTCAAGCCTATCTGGGGTCTCCTCACTGATGTTCTCCCCATTTTCGGGTATCGAAGACGGCCTTATTTCATTTTTGCTGGTAAGTGATGCAGTTTTAGTTTCTTGTTAACTTAAAATTCAGTAGTTCTAGTTGGTTTTTATGTCCAAGGTTAAATATAGACTTGAGGATAGATTTCATGTTTTAAAATGCAGTTTGGGCATTATGTTCGGGGTTTGTGTAGGGAATGAGTAGGCATTTAATTTCAAATGTTGTTGATTTTCGATGTGTTGCTTTCCCTTCGTTGTTCGAAATCTAAATGTTTTAGATCAACAAACCATTCCCTATACGAACCACGAGCAAGAAGGACTGATTGTTCATGTTTTATTTGATATTAGGTTCTATTGGTGTGATCTCAATGCTCCTAATATCGTTCCACGAAAAGCTGCATCTCGCACTTGCCATCTTGGTACTAACAGGTGGAAGTGCTGGAGTTGCTATAGCAGATGTCACCATTGATGCCTGTGCGGCAAAGAACAGTATCCTTCACCCTTCACTTGCATCAGATATCCAAAGTCTGTGTGCCTTAACTTCGTCCATTGGGGCACTTGTCGGATTCTCCCTTAGTGGTATCTTTGTTCATCTTATAGGCCCTAAGGTCAGCTTCTTTAAAACTTCTGCTCTCATATTTCAAGTGAAAATATCATGATTCTATCTCCTCTTCTGTGGCAGGGAGTTTTCGGCCTGTTGGCAATCCCATCAGGACTTGTAGTTGTAGTTGGAACTCTGCTTGATGAACCTTGCGCACCCAATTTTTCCTTTACATCGGTAGTTTTATACTCCTCCTGATTCTTGCTTCTTTTCAAGCTAATTGCCTAATATTCCATGCTGGGTGCAGGTCGGTCAGAAGTTTATTGATGCTGGAAAAGCCATGTGGACAACATTGAAATGCCCTGAGGTATGGAGACCTTGCTTGTACATGTACTTATCCATTGCATTGAGCTTGAACATCCTCGACGGAATGTTCTACTGGTATACAGACGCGAAGGATGGCCCGTCTCTCTCTGAGGTATTCGATTATCATTTACGAGATGAGTTTTAGAAACTAAGATGAATATATTTTTAAAGTTAATCATTCACACCTTTATGCAGGAGAATGTCGGATATATATTCTCGATAGGTTCAGTTGGTTCACTATTGGGGGCAGTACTCTATCAAAATGTTCTGAAGGATCATCCTTTCCGGGACTTGCTCTTCTGGACTCAGTTGATATACGGGTTGTCAGGAACATTAGATTTGATGCTCGTTTTGCGATTGAATTTGAAGTTTGGCATACCTGATTATTTCTTCATTGTGATTGATGAAAGTGTATCTCAAATGATAGGAAGGCTCAAATGGATGCCTCTCCTCGTGCTTAGCTCAAGGCTTTGTCCCTCGGGAATTGAAGGAACATTTTTCGCTCTGCTCATGTCAATCGAAAATGTTGGAGTTATGTCAGCATCGTGGGGAGGAGGCGTCTTACTGCATGCATTGAAGGTTACAAGGACAAAATTTGATAATCTCTGGCTTGCCATTCTGATTAGGAACTTGTTGAGATTAACTCCTCTCTTTCTGCTGTTTTTGGTACCCAAATCTGATGCGAGATCCGCCATTCTTCCAACAGAAATTTTGAACACGAAAGAGGATATTGAAACTACAGAAACAGAGAACATTGAATTGGTCTCCCTTGTTAAGAGAGTTGATGGTAGATAGCTCAACAAGAATAAAAAAACAATTCATCTCCAATTCATTTTTTGTTTTGTTTTCAGAAACACATTCAGCTTGCAGATTGAATTTCGATATCTGAGATGGATGTAAGTATTGTCCTTAAATTGCTGATGCTGTTTATTATTTTACTAACAGATTACATGGTCCCCTTATGCGAAAGCATGTCGAACTAACAAGAAGGATTAACTAGCAACAAGAAATAAAGATACTAAATCAGATTTTATATCTGAAATCACACAATCTTGTAGCATGAGTAAGGCAGTACTACTTCAACGACCATCCAAGCTAGAAGTTAAAGATATGTGAGAGGCTGAATCGGCTTCGTGTTGAGGTTGAGGCAGTGGATGATGGTCATGCATGTCTGGTGGAAGTTCTGGCAGCGGCGCTTCGAGCTGAAGAACCTTTATCACCTGCCCTGCTTTTGGTCTTTCCGTTTTCATGGGGTGGGTGCACCATAACCCCACAAATAGCAAACATTCCATTTCATTTCTATCAAAGTTCAAATTTAATCTCTCATCGGCTACATGGAGAAGATTTCCGGCAAGGTAGAACTGCCAAACCCACCGGAAAAGTGGCACGTGATACTCTCCATCTTGGTAAGTCCTCCTTCCACATGCAATTTCCAAGGCTACAACTCCCAAACTGTAAATGTCTGATTCTTTACTGGCCCTCCCTCCATTTGCATATTCTGGGGCCATGTATCCGAAAGTCCCTACTACCCCTGTTGTTTGACTCCTGAATCGCGGATCCACGAGCTTCGCAATACCAAAATCACCAAGCTTAGTGCTGAAATTATCGTCCACCAGTACGTTAGCTGATTTGATATCCCTGTGAAGGACACATTGCTCTGCTTCTTCGTGTAGGTAATGAAGTGCCGAGGCCAACCCTAAAGCTATCTTGTACCGGGATTCCCATTGCAGAGTTACTCGAGAACCAAACAGGTGTGTGTCAAGGCTGCCGTTGGACATGTATGCATAAACAAGCAAGCATTCTCCGTTCTTGTGACACCATCCAATGAAATGGACCAGATTTCGATGAAATAAGTGGCTTATTATCTTCACTTCATTGATGAAGATTTTCTCATAGTGCTCGGATTCTGTCAAGATTCTCTTAACAGCAACTAGGCAGCCAGGTTGTTGTAAGATCCCTTTATAAACTTGTCCTGACCCTCCCTGGCCTAGCCTTCTTTCTTTCGCGAAGTCATTAGTGGCCACGACTAATTCTTCGTAAGAAAACCTTTTTGGGACAGCTAGTCCCTCAAGCTTCGCACTTATAGACTGCAATCCATTGGAGCTGTGATTTCCGTTCTCAAACAATCCAAGAATCCTTTTAACAAAACAACTTAAGGCCACGCCAATCGCCACAATCAAGAAGGAAGCCGCAAAGACCACTATCAACCATTTCTTCTTTCCTTTCCGCTTGTGTTTCCTGTTTTTCTCATGTGCAGGATCCAAACTTGAATTGAAATCCCATGAGTATATCGTGTGCCGCTCGGGGTATTGTCGGGTAGCAGCTGAAAAACCAATTGTAACCAAATCGGGAAGGCACTTGCGTAGGTCAACATTGTAAGAAAGAGAAGAATTGCCTACGAAAACAGGGTTTTCCTTGTTTGTCCAGAACACACTGAGGTTTTTAGTGGTAGCATTGTAAGTTATCCACACATTCACCTTCTTCTTATTATAATCGCCGCTAAAGTTCCAACTAGCATGAACAACAGAAGAGATTCTATTGATATTGATCCCAACATGCGGTCCGGCTGGATCCCAGTAACTGTTTGAGTAGGTATCGAACTCGACGTAAACAATTTTGCTGTGTGACATGGTGGTGCTGTTGAATAATCCGAGAAAACCCCCACCCGAGTTAGGCGGAATTGGGACACCAACAGGAGCAAGGAAAAACGCAAACCCGTCACTATGGTTTTGGCCAGCAGCGTTGATATTGCAAGTGAAATGAGTAGCGAAGTCTGCAAGTGACCCGGAGTTGGAGTCCCATAAGTGCAACGGGTCTGCATATGT